CACAATTCATTACTATGGAAAGTACTCAGACACATGTATGTCAGCGAAGTTTTTTCATTCATTCGATTCCCGATAATCATTATTTTGTAATGATGTATCCATTTTATACAAACAAATATTAACCTGCATTTCGAGAAATCGTATAGATTAGCGCGAACTTCCGTCTAAAACATGTCGGACGTCGATTTATTTCCTACGAATAAAGTAAATATCGAATCGTTATTACTAATCTCACACAAGCTTGGTTGCATCATACACTGATATATATATATGAAACTAATTCAGGTGCAAACGAGTTTTAACTTAACCAATACATTCGAGAATAAATACGCGTAGATATCACGACCCTTTGAATCTTTCGTTGTTTCCTTCTAGAATCGCGAATCTTCTTCATTTATGTATCGAGTGGCATTTGTTAATCTCGAATCAGTGAAAAAGTAAAAAAAAAAAAAACTGTTAAAACTTTAAAAATCGCGATGCATATATACTGTTGATTCAGTTACATGTATTGATACATACGTTCGACATACGTTAAACCGATGATTTCAATGTATTGTAAGTGTACGGGCCTTACATACATATTGCTATGATAAGTGTAACGAGTCATTTTTAATTGAAATAAATAAAACAAAAAAAAAAAAAAGAAAAAGAAAAGAAAGAGAAAGAAAAGAAATATACATGAAAAAAAAAAAATGAAAATATTCTCACCTGTGTAAAATTTCATTTTTTCTTCTTTGTGTTTAGTTTACTTTTTTTTATTCTTTTCCCTTTACGTAGTGCGTAGTGTACAGCGTAAGAGAAGATAAACATCCTCTTTTATTGCATTATTATAATTTATTTCATATAAACATTTGATACAGTTTTAAAATTTCATTTCGTAGAGCTTAGTATTTAGTAGTTTAGTGTTAATAAGTAATTAGGTTCTATAGAATAATATCGGAGATAAATTGGATGGAGTGATCGAGGAGAGTTCAAAGTTTGGTTTGGCATGATTATCGTGTTCACTTTGATACATTCGGATATATAAAAGAACATCTGCAGAACAGAATGCAACGTGTTTTCTTTTGCCAGAGGACGAGGCTTTTTGAGATATGTATCTATCGAAAACGTCTTAGATATTTTATTTTATTTTATTTTATTTTATTTTATTCTCTTTTCTTTTTTAAATTCATTTAAGCCCAAGGGTTAATCGAGTTAAATTTACAAGTAACGAGATATCTGCAAAGTGTAAATTTTGCCTCTTTTCATTGAGCAAATTTTAGATCTTAAAAAGTTGATATGTAACGATATTTTTTAACTCTATAATTTTTATCTTCTTTTTTATCTTCTTTCTCATTTCGAAATTTTCGAAAAAAGAGGATCGAATTGATATTTATCTTATATATATATATATTTATATTTATATTTATATTTATTTTAATTCTCTTCTCGATATGTGCTATAATATTTTGTTAATTTTTTTTTTTTTTCCTTTTTACATCGTAAGAAATCAACAAATATTGGTCTCATACTGATCTGTGATAGTCCTCTCGATCGAAACAGGCACACAGGTGATACTTATTGATCGCGATCGAACGTTTTTTCGCATTCGATCTGAAATATAATAATAAGGGAACGATAAAAATTTCCATTTTGTATGATCAAACTCGATAGAACGACGATTGAATTGCATGTTGTCTGCAGATACCGGTCGCTATAAAATAAGGTACGTATTTTGATCTATGTGGATAACTATGGGGGAGAATCGTCTATATATATCGACTAAATCTTATCTATGCTTGTTAGAAGATATCTTACTTTAAATATACAGTAAATATACATGTGCGCTTAAATTGTCAGAATATTCTCACTACTCTATCCAAATAAGAAGGGGTCGAAGGCCAGGCGTCAATCCTCGAATCGCATAAATTTTAAATCGATTGTTGTTTTTTTTTTATTATTTTTTTTTTTTGAAATTGAAGAAAACATCGGTAAGGCAGAATTTCTCATAGCACCTCCAATAAAATAGAATATATATATACTAAATATTCGCAAGTTTGACGAAATATTATCGATAGATAGATTCAGATAAGGATAGACACGGTGTATGTAAACCTTTTATCTCGATTTGAGGATCGACGAATGATCGTTCAGGATTGTTAACGCGGGTTTAATGTATAGATACATGTGTACAGTGGAGAGGTAATTCGTTTACCAAGCAAGATTGTCGGCGAAGGGTTGCGTCGTGAGAATATTATTACAACCTAGGCATAAGTAGATATATCATTAATTCGCTTTATATATGGACTAGACTCAAGTACTTATTCAATAGTAGATCTTCATACGAATATTGCAAAGAAACGTAGTTTCAAGCTGTTACGGTCGAAGATGTGAATTTACAGTGTGGATCCTCGTGGAGACTCGTTACCGACACGGTTTTCTTCGTTTTTCATCCTCGATGAATGATATACACGATCTCAAAGGTAAACTCGAAAAATTGACACATTGTCTAGTTTTAATTAAATCTCCTCTTATTGTCGATGCTTTCTTCCCTTTAATTAATTCGTTCGCGAGAAATTTCGTTAAATTCGCCTCCAACGAGACACCAGAATTGCGATTCGTCCTCGCCTTGGAAATAATTATAATACGACGGGTCGGTAACGAGTGTTCGAGGAATCGCGAATTTTCGTCCTATGTCGCGAGAAGCCGATCAACGGACTGGATGGTTTTACAAAGAATCATAGCAAAATAGTTTCGTATTATTGTATACAACTACTACAACGACACGAAGTAGGTAGAAGAGTTACAGAATAATTGTAATTCGAAAGGTTGGAAAAAGGATGCGTGGGATCGGAAGGAAAAAAAGAGAGGAGATTTTTTTTTCGTCGGTAGCCGTAGAAATCGATAAACGTTTAAAGTGTTGGAACGTTCCTAACCTGCAAAATAATACAATATACATATAATCTTTTATGTATACATATATATCTCTTTGTGTGTGTGTGTGTGTGTATATATATATATANNNNTAAATCAAAATTGCAAGAGGATAGGAAGAGAAGGAGGACGACGCCACCCTC